ATCTTCTGTTTTGGATGAAGAAATCGCCGGTCGCCAGTCGCCGGTATGCACCACAGTAGCTTCACTTGAACACAATAGGGTATATTTGGATGATTTTGGTTATATTTCTTAAAAGTAGGAACGCTAGAAATCGCTGGTCGCCGGTCGCCGGTATGCTTAACAGTAGCTTCACTTGAACACAATAGGGTATATTTGGATGATTTTGGTTCTATCGCCGGTCGCCGGTGTAAAGTATTTTATGTTGTATGGACTCTTTTGTGAATTGGATAACCTTAATTTGATTAGAATGGAACTCCTTTGTCTCGAGGGTTAAAATGGTAACTTGTTGTCATTCAGATAACAGTTACCAAACAACATTATTTCACTCAGCACTTAACCATTCTGCCCCTCTTAACCATTCTGACCACTTAACCATTCTGCACTAAACAATTCAGCAACCGCCAAACAGCCCCTTACATAAAAAAGAAAATTACCTAAATACTCATTTCCCTTTTATTCACATGTGTTTTTTGAAATTATAAATTTAAAAAATTAATTTTTTATCATGATTAATCACAACAGTTTATTGTAAAAATCAATGGCCAATATTGATTAACAAAGTTAACACAATAATCTTGATTAACATTTGAACCAGCCCCTATACACACACACACACACACACACATATATATATATATATAGACTTGGCATCAAATGAAACTAACATGTTTTCATGAGATCAATTAGATCGTTCTTTTACACTTGAAACTTTGAAAGTAACTTTCACAATATTTTTGTTGTGAAAGTTCAATTTTTGTATATCTTTACAGCATTTTGCTGTGAAAATTCAAATATAAAAAAGTAGTCTCACGAAAACATGTGGGTCTTACGTGAACCCAACCCTATATATATGTGCATATATATTAACCTGAATATTTAACTCATTATACAAGGCGAGTAAATATATTTTGAGTTTATAGTTTTCTACAAAGCTAAAAATATTTTTACAGAAATTAAAATCATAATATGAGATGTGAAGATTCACCACATAACCAAAGGGCCTTTGCATTAATGGTATCGTAGTTTTTGACTTTCTAAAAAATTAGAGGTTCAAACCTTATCAAAAATGAGAAAAATATAGAGTTTATTTGTTGCATTTATCGTATATAAATATTATATATTTAAAAAAGTATTCAAAACGTAAAATTGCATGGGATGATATTTGATTTTATGTATCTTCAAAGATATTATTGATATTAATTAAGTGCCCTTCACGTAAAACCATGTCCATAATTTCTAGAAACTTTGTGTCTAATAAATTCCCCATGTGATCTCAGATTTTATTTAATCAGCTAATTTATTATAAAGCAATATATTTGTCAATCAAAAATATGCTTTTTATAGGTTTTACAATTTCCTATATATTAGTTTAATTAAGGGGTCGTTAACTAAACATTTATTTGTTAAGTGTTTATCGGTAAAATTTAACATTATTATTTATTTATCGGGTAAGATTTTAGTCCACCAAAACGATATCGTATGCAATAATTTACCCGGTAAGCGCTTACCGTGGTAAGAGTCGTCGCCCTCACTTATTGGATAGAACTTTTAGTGGTTGTTTACCAAACACTTACCTGGTAAACACTAATCGGTAAAATTTAACATTGTCATTTACTCACCGGGTAAGATTTTAGTCCACCAAAACGGTATCGTATGCAACAATTTACCCTCTAAGCGCTTATTGTGGTAAGAGTCATCGCCTTCACTTACCGGGTATGACTCTTGGTTCTTGTCTCACTCTTACCGGGTAAGATTCTTTGTCTGTACCATATTCATCCGATAAAGTAATGTGACTTTGTATTCACTTACCCGGATAAACGTTTGTTAAACGGTCCCTAAAACTACAAATATTAACAATCTTGAAAACAGAAAAATATATCGCTTTAAATAAAAAAAAAAATCATTTTTTACTTATAAATTTTCTAGTTTTATCTGTGAATTTCAGTAAAAAAAAATTGGAACAATCAAGGTTCATAGATGAAACGACACTATGAACTTTAAACAGACGTGGTTATCTTCCAACTAAGATGGGCTTGTTAGGATAATACTGTTTACTTGGTTAACAAATGACTCTGTGCGTATGCATATGTATGTATGTGTATATATAATGTTCAATATTAATCCCGTTGAACAAAAAAACAAGTCAGGTCCGATCGAGACTCAACCCAGACCCGCAAATAATCACCTCTATTTAATATGAAAATAATGTACCATTCCGTCTATTAATTTAATTAATCATTATTTCAAATCTTGTCCCTATTTTTTTAATAATTACTCAAATATATCAAGATTCATGTGATAATTATCAAATCTTTAGACAAGAATGTTATTTTATAACCACAAGGGTGGTGTCTGATTGGTTTAAGCTTGACTTTAAAGGTCAAAAGTACCAGGAGGTCACAGGTTCAAATCCAAGGAGGAATAAAAATCCCTTTTGTGGCCATGGAGGTTCAAATGCGGTGACTCCAAGCTATCTATAAAACAGATGATCATCCTGAAATTAGTCGAATCGCATAACGAATTAGATATCCAAGTTAATAAAAAAAATGTTATTTTATAGCAACAATGTTTCACTTTCAAGTCAAATTTTGCACATGCCATGGTGGTGCAGGTTGATATTAAGCCATTAATAGGCCAGCAAGGCCAAATATGAAGCTTAATAATTGGTGTCTGCTATTGTTTATATAGTTTTGGAAAATTCTAGATAGATGGAACAATATCTATACTATATTATAAAATATATCACAAAAATTTTTAAAATCCATTTTTTATATACGAAGTACTGTTTATTGATGCATATTACTTAAAATTTAAGATTACAAGTAAATTGTGTATAAGTACAACTTATTAAAGCTTCATATTTGAATTCGTGTAATTAACTACAGATAAACATAATCAAATATTAGATAAACATCTCATATATATTCAATATAAAAAATCTAGAATATAATTTGGACAATCATTAAGTTATAACAGAATAATTATTTATTATTTTTATAAAAAAATTATATTATTAAATTTAAATTAAGTTTTTTTGTTACTAAACCTAAATTAAATTATAATTAAAAAATTTGAATTAAGGAAATTACACCAAAACACAACAACCTTTAAAAAGATTAATTTGATATTGATAACGATATAATTTTTTAAAAAAATTTATGATATTTTCAAATTTATATTATTCAAAAAATAAAAAGATTATCGCTTTATCAAAACCACATAAAATCGTATTATATCGACATAAAAAATGAATAAAACGAAACATTGAAATCAAGATGTGTCTCGATACATTGCACGAGTACCCTTCTAGTATTATTAAAAAAAATTGAAAATTATTAGATAACTATAGAGATATTGAGTAATTAAAAAAGAGGGGACAACATTTTGAATTAATAGATTCTTGTACTTATTTTAACTGAACAATTTGATCATATCTGACCGTAATATGGTGAATTCATGAAAAAACCAGTTAATTAATATGGTGAATTCATGGAAAAAACTGAACATTAGATTTTAGTATTTTGAGCAATTAAATCCTTGGACATTTTCTAAAAAGAATTAATCCTTACACTTAGGGGTTGTTTGTTTACATCTTAATAGTTTCATTAAGAGACAATCTCTGAATCGTTAAAAGATGAATCTTGTTTGGCAAAAAAAAAAAAAAAAGTCTGCCTCTTAATGGTTCTAAAACCGTCTGAATGATTTTGTATCTTAGGTCTCCCTTAATCATTCAACGCCCTAATTTCATTGTAAACAATTACCAAACAATTATATTTCATTTTGCACTATATCATGAGAGCCTTTTAATCATTCTGACCACTTAATCGTTCTGAACTAAATCATTCAACAACTGTGAAATATCCCCTTTATAAAACGAAGGAGCTGATTGCAACCAATATGTATGTATATAACGATTGTAAGAAAATTCACGTTAACTTAAAATTCAGAGTCTTATTACAATAAAGCTGATACATGCACACTTTGAAAAATGCATACGTAAAGGATGATATAATTAAACAGACGGCTTAATCCATTTGCCATAGAGCTGTGTGTTTTACTTGATGGGATCTATTTCAATATTCATGGCATGTGGCTTGTTCACTGCAACAACTTCATCTTTTGGTAGAGGACTTGGATCTAATGAAGCAAATGCCAACAGCTCTGAATTGCTTTCTAGAATCTTCATCTCTTCTTCATCCATATTCACCCATGCTTCTATTCCTTCCCCACATTTTGTGTCTGTTAGAGTGATAAGATTCAGGAACACTGGACAGCCATCGCCTACAACACCAGTCAGCCAACACGGTTTTCCCCAACCAAAATCTATGTCATAGAACCCCATCCTGCACCAGCTTGTAAAGTTGTAGACATCCATGGTCCCTTTGGAGCTAACTTCTCCCATATCCTTCATAGACTCCACCATCGCGATATACCCATTTTCACCTTGTGCTTTGTTCGCAAACTCGACGTCAATCTTTGCGACACAATCGCGCACCTTTTTCACCAAACCGTCAAGGGTAGTCTCATCGTTGGCTTGGCAATCTGCACCTGTGAACCAAAGCAAGTTACCCATTAAGTCCTTTGATAAGGTTGATGAGAGTTTTCTACGGAGGTTCACCGTGTGGGTTAAGAGAGAAGGCTTCTGGAAGCCACAGTTTTCTTTGGAAGCTGCCATTGCAGACTTCCATAACAAAGCAGACACCACCTCAACACGTGTAGGGTTCTGCACTCCATTTCTAGTTGCTTGTGCTTTTAGTGTGGATATGGCATCAGCATCAAATACGAATCTTTTCGTGACACACAGCCCTTCCTTTAGCCACGACCCACACACCGCCATTGATGCTTTTTTAAGCCACAAGTCTTTTGCAGGGAAGAGGGAACGTGCACCGATTAAGTTTGGATACACCACTTCTTTAGATCCACGAGCCATGTTGGTCCATGCTTTTAGAAAGGTGTAGAGTGAAGCCGCATCAACAATCTTGTGTGAAATACAAAGGCCGACAGCAATCCCACCACATTCGAAGATGTTCACCTGCACACTTGTCACACGACCACCTATACCAGACGCCTCGAAGCTAGGTCGAAACGGCAACAACCTGTCGGTCAAACTGAGATCGGGATGGCTCAGAAACTCGTCGAGCCGAAGACGGACCGAGGCTAAGGCATAATAAGCACCAACATCATTGCAATCAATGGAAAGATCATCCTTGACTGTTCCAGCAAGTGGGTAAAACTGTGTCAGGGTTTCAGATAGAGATCTCTTCAGAGCTAATGACTGTTCTTGCGCTTGGAGAATAGTGTGGCCATGGTGGTTAGGGTAGTAGAAGATGATTGGTACATAAGGGCTAATAACAAGCTGATCTAACAGAGAAAGCTCGAATGTTTTCAAGTGGGGTGGTGTTGGAGAAGATGGTTTGACACTATCTTTGGAAATGACTACAACTTCCATCGCAACAAACTGTGGTGCAAGTCTAGAATGGATGGTTTCTGCAAAAGATTTGCCTCTCAAATGGCCCTTTTATAGGGAGGATATGAATATGCATGACGTTTAGTACTTTGTATCAGATAAAGTTGTTATGGTTGTAAATGATTATTGATTTGAGTTTGGTTTCAAACGTCAAAACTACTGGGAGGTCTCAGGTTTAAATCCAAGGAGGAATAAAAGTCCGTCTGTGACCACGTAGGTTCAAATCCGATGACTTTGAGCTATCTATAAAACAGATGGTCGTCATAGAATTAGTCGAGCGGGTTGAATATACATGTTAATAAAAAAAATTGTAACACAATATTCTCTCACATGATTTGTATATGAGTTGTCAAATAAGCAAGTCTTTTGAAAAAGATATCTCGAATTAAAAATGCAATCCATATGCGTTGTATGTATTATTTTATTCCATGTTTTAATAATTAGACAGATCCTTTCATTAATTTATTTAATCATATTTTCCTCTAAAATTATATATAAACAAATAAATGTATCGATGTTTGTAGAAAGACTAAGGTGGCGTTTGTTTTTTAAGAGGTGCTGAAGTCTGAAATCTGAATCAGTCAGACTGTTTGTTTTTACGTCTGAAGTCTGAAATCTGAATCAGTAAGACTGTTTGTTTTTGTAAACTGAGACAAGCGACGTAAGRAGGCGATAGAAATAAGAGGTTTTAAGTGCTAGGGTTACCACTTAAAAATTCAGAGGAAAATAAGCGAATTCATCTCTTAATTTGAAAAAAAACAAACGATCTGAAAGTTCTTATGTCTGACCGATTCAGACATAAGAGGAGATTAAGTGAAAAATTAAAAAAACAAACATCCCCTAAGTCTCTTAATAGTTCCATTAAAAAGTAACATCTGAATCGTTAAGAGGTGAATATTATTTGGCAAAAAAAAAATTTGTCTCTTAATTGTTCTAAAACTCTCTGAATGATTTTGTATTATGGGTCTCCTTTCAGATTTTGTATTATGGGTCTCCCGTAACAATTAAGAGCCCCAATTTAATTATAAACAATTACCAAACAATTATATTTCATTTTGCATTATATCAWGAGAGCTTCTTAATCATTCTGACCACTTAATCATTCTACACCAAACCATTCAACAATTGTCAAACAACCCCTAAGTAGTTTGTTTACCCCTTAATAGTTCCATTAAGAGGTAATCTCTTAATCGTTAAGAGGTGAATATTGTTTGGCAAAAAAAACAGTTTGCTCCTAATGGTTCTAAAACCCTTTGAATGATTTTTGTATCATGAGTCTCTCTTAACCATTAAGAGCCCCAATTTCATTGTAGACAATTACCAAACAATTATATTTTATTTTGCACTATCATGAAAGCCTCTTAATCATTCTGCACCAAACCATTCAGCAACTGTCAAACAACTAAATATAAGAACAAAATATAACAAAGTTTTGATTTAGTTTATATTTAATTTTCTTTTCTTAATCAATGTAACAAGTATCAAAATTTCTTATGTATCATAACCATTTCGACTAGTAAAACGTTGATATTAAACATTTGATGACATATATACTAAGCTTTCAAGTTATATATTGACTGAAAAAAAATATAATGATGTATCGACTGGTTATTCATATATATATATATATATATATAGAGAGAGAGAGAGAGAGAGTTTGTTTCAAATACAATCCATGACATTTGTACAACCAATGCAACCCAATAAATTAAGGTATTTATGGAAATGATGAGAGTTCATTTATTATGATTTGAATATTTATGGAAGATGAATATATGGTTCATTAATTATGATCAATACTTTATGTTAGGAAACAATCAAAATCACATATTAATCAAATGAAATGAACGGTTAAGATTGAGTTGTATTGGTTGTACAAATGTCAAAGGTTGTATAATAACCAACCTCTATATATATATACATATATATATATATATATATATGTGTGTGTGTGTGTGTGTGTGTGTGTGTGTGTATACACACATTGATTGCAACTTAAAGCACTGTTAAAATTAATGTTACAAAATCCACAAATTAATTACTGGTCAAAATGGGTACGGTACAAACTTCATTGTATTTTATGTATTTTACTCTTAAGTTAAGAACGTATAAAAATATTAAGAGTACACTACAAATTTGGTCCCTGTGGTTTGTTAGAAATACCCCTTTTTTATCCTTGCAATTTTGAAATTACAAATGGCCATCTTAGTTTGAAAAACATTTGGATTTGGTCCCTCCATCTAACGATGGTTAAAAAATCCCATTAAAGTAGGGGCATCTCGTCCTTTTACAGATTTTTTTGACTTTTACCGAATCAAAATCGATTTATGGTTTTGATCCATGTGGTTTTTTAATGGGGTAAAAACAAAAAAAGAGATCGATAAAAGAACAAAAATGTCCCTTATTTAACGAAATCTTTTAATGGCGTTAAACAGAAGGATCAAATCCAGACGTTTTTGCAAATAACATGGTCATCTTGTAATTTTAAAACTGTAGAAACAATTAGTGATATTTCTAACAACCCACGGGGACCAAATTTGTAGTTTACTCAAATACTATTACTATCAGACAAACCTTCCACCAGAAGATATTATCTTAAAACAAAATAACACAACATTTGATTGAGGGATTTTTCAAGTTTTTCAGTTGATTTCAAAATATATATTTAAAGTTTTTTCGTTGATTTTGAGGAACTTTTGTGTTTTTTTGGATGATTTCGAGAGAAACTTTGCGTTTTTTTTGTTGATTTCGAGAGAAAAAGTTTCTGTTTTTAGGTTGATTTAGGACAAATGCCTAATATCAAACTCAGGGGAAATTTTAAATTTGAATTAGGTTTTGGGACAAAACCTGAATAAGAGATTGAGAGAGTGACTGAATGACTGTGAGAGCAGAGAGCCTAAGAGAGAGTGAGAGAATTGATTGAGAAATCTGGGTGTTAGGCAGAAGGTGAGAGGTGATTGCAGAAGCAGAGAGGCAGGGGCTCTCGGCTAGGCTTGGGAATGGGACTGGGACCCAATCCTCATCCCTGCCCTGGTACCCAATCTCCGTCCCTGATTTTTTTTTTTTTTTTTTTTTTTTTTTTTTTGTAAGGGTGTCTGGGCCAAAGCCCGACTAATCCCCGGCAAATTTGGAGGCTAAACATGGCCCCACTTAAATGTCGCCAACACTCCCCTCACAGGGCTCGAACTCGGGTTCATGACTATGTCATGCCCAAGCCTTTACCACTAGGCTGGAAGGTCTTTGACTCTGTCCCTGATTCTACCGGGAAATGTGATCACATCCTCATATCCGTCCCCAACGGGGAAAAGGGATCCGAACTGGGAATTTGTTTTCACGTTTATATGAAATATTTTAAATCAAATGTGTTAAACACTACACTCTATCCAAAATCTTCCATGTTTAAGTCTCACATATTTGCAAATTTTGTTTTCAAACAGTATCAAATATTCATATGTGAATAAAATCACAACATCATATATAATTGTCTAATTAAACGTTTGCGTCACTCCATGTTTTTATCTATAGAAATAAGACAAGTGAGAAAAGTCAAAAAAAAAATGTAAAAATACACTTTCTTAATCTAAGATATTAGATCTAATTTTTTTATACATAATATATTTAATAAAAAAATTACAGTTTTGGTCCTCCATCTTTGTATTTTTGTTTAATTTGTGTACATATTTCATAAATGATCGCGTTGTGCCCCCAAGAAGAAATGTATTTCGCATCAGATATTATTTGGTCCCTTAACTTTAAGTTTTGGTACACCTTTGCCCTTTTATTTCTTAAAATGTTCTTGAGCACCCCTCAATATTTTTTTTTTCCAGGTGCTACCGAAAAATAGACTAAACCGGTGCATGGACCCCTTTCCCCAATCTGTCCACCTCTAAAATCAAACATGGTTCACATGACTTTGACCGTGATATAAGATTTGAGGCCAAGTCATTTGCTCATCTTTATGGTGACCATGTTCCATAATCGATATATAATTTCGATGTAAAATCACATATGATTTCGTTGTTTTCTTATTCTTTTATTTTGATCCTATTATCGTATCATCTTTTATATATATATATATATATATATATAGGGTTGTGTTCACGTGAGACCAATGGTTTTTCGTGAGACCCGTAAGACCAATTTATGTTTATTGATCAACTTTATAATCTAATGGTCTAAAGTTGCAAGGTGGTAATTTCGTAATTATTGAGAAGTTTCGTGACGTTTATGAATGTTTAGATCTGACGATTGTAAATCTAATCCAATGGTTGAGAATTGGTCTTACGGGGCTCACGAAAAACCATTGGTCTCACACGATTCCAAGTATATATATATATATATATATATATGGGTTGGGTTCACGTGAGACCAAAGGTTTTTCGTGAGACCCGCAAGACCAATTTATGTTCATTGATCAACTTTATAAACTAATGATCTAATGGTCTAAAGTTGAACGTTGGCAATTTTGTGATTATTGAGAAGTCTTGTGGCAATTTGGTGATTATGAATATGTTCAGATTGTAGATCTAATCCAATGATTGAAAATTGATCTTACGGGTCTCACGAAAAACATTTGGTCTCATATGATTCCAAATATATATATATATATATATATATATATATATATATATATATATATGATAAAACTTGTGTTCATATAGTTCATTATTATCAATATAATATAATATTATTTTGAGTTGTAATGATTTAATAACCGACCACCCATCTTTCTATAAATAATTCCACATGTTGAAAAAATTTCATTCTTTATATATTTATATATATATATATATATATATATATAGAGAGAGAGAGAGAGGTTGGTTTAAATGTTAACCAAGTTTATTATGTTAACTTTGTTAACCAATCTTGGTCATTGATTCTTACAATAAACGGTTGTGATTTACCATATTAAAATTTTAATTTTTTATTTATAATTTTACAAGCATATGTAAACTAAGTGAAAAAGGGAATTTATATAATTTTATTTTTTATGTAACTCTCATATAA